AAGGAACAGCTGCCGGCGCCCGGATCCGTCCATGGAGCTGAGGCGGATGAAGCGCTGCTGAGCGGATCCCAGCCGCGCCGCTGCGGTGAGCAGGCACCTGCGCCGGGCCCTCCTTGCCCGCCGTCCCGCTCCCCAGCGTCACCCGGGTAGGTGCATCCGCAGAGGCCTCTTCCTTCCTGCAACGGGTGCGGGTCGTAGATGCTCGCAGGCGGAGAACGAGGACGACCGCGGTCGGGCTTCCCCCTTGACCCGGTGCAACTCCCAGCCGCGGGGAATTCCGTGGGGATCCGAGCGGGGCGGTCGGGTGAGAGGAGGCGAGCTCAGCCCGTAACAAAGCGAGGAGGCGCTTGGGGGAAGCGGAAAGCAAACGGGCGGATCTCCTTGGCTGCCCTTCTTTGCCTGCTCCTTGATCGCTCCCAACCTCCCATCTTCCTCCCTCCGTTCTCGGCTTCCGATCCGCCACGCCCCCGCTGGCCTGGGAAGGATGCTGAGCTGCTGCATCCTGTTTGATCGGCTTGGCCTGGAGCGGCTCGGAGGAGTTCGGCCCGGGGCTTCTGGGCGCGCGCCCTCTCCTCTTTCGCCCCGCGGGAGCTGCGAAGCCCCGGGGCTTCGTCTGCACGCGGACGTGTGCATCAGGGGAAGGGGGGAGTCTTCCTGCTCGGGCGCGGGGTAGCTATTTGCGAGCTTTGCATCACGCCCGAGTATTTCTCGCCTCTCTCCCTTCTCTAAAAGGCTCGAACGCGGTGCCCTCCCGATGTCTCCCAGACTATAAATCGCGTCACTCCCAGGCGGCTTGGTCACCTAGTGCTGTCGATAGTGTAGTCTAACCGCCAAGTCCTCCGGCTTCTTCGAATTGTCAGGAAGTGCTCTGCTCCTCTATTTTCCCTGTTATGTATTCGACTTTAGCTCCCCAAATGCTCGAGAGCCCCTAATTGGGAGGATGTGCCCTCCAGCTGTCAGGACTGTTACCTCTAATCCTACTCTTCTTGCCCTACCGTGATTTTTAAAAATAATTTTTATAAAACTCCTTTGTAAAGTAAGCATTCGGTGAATTAGTTTTCATGTCAGTCCCATGAGACAGGCTGGCATACAATTATTCCCATTTTGTAAATGGGAAACTGAGGCTAGAAGAAAAGATAAGAGATGGGTATTGAGGCAGATCTAAGCATTGCTCTCTGTTAAAACTCACACGCTTTCTGCAAACTTTACTCACCACACAGCTCACATGGAATATGTCTCCCATCTACTCTGCCCACTTTGGCAGATAAGGGGTTCCTTGGCTGTTTCCTATCTATGAAGACACGTGCCCCCAAATAATTCAGCTGGTGCTCTCCAATGTGCCATAGTACTTTTAATGGATGATGGCGTTACAGAGTACAGGGTCCTTTCCCTGGAATCAGTCATGGTTCTTCAGTTACTCTCTTATAGTAAGCTTTATTGGATTGGTGGTAGAAACATCTATGATTACTTGGGTGTTTAGGGAAGACTCTTCCAAACTGATGCCCTTCACTATGTTGGACTATGCCTGCCACTCCATAACTGGCATACTTTGGTATGTTGTCCAGGGATGATGTGAATGGTAGTCTCACACATCTCGGGTGCTGGTTATAAGAAGGTTGCTGTAGATAGAGCTTCCTATACATCCAATGGGTAGAAGTGCTTACTTCAGAGGTGGGGGGATATAAATTAAGTGCAGCTGGTATGGATATATCATGATGTGTAAGATGTTAGGCTTGGTACACATCATTGTAACAATATGTATGTAATCAGTTGGATCATTGCATTGAAGAATATTGTGTTTGAGGGAAGAAGTTAAAATGTGTCTCTGCTGATCACTGTGGAAATCATTAAAGAATATGTGACACAGCCCCTGTAAACTGTGTTCTTCTTCCCATTAGCAGTATTACAGTATTTTCATACCACACTGAAAGCTATGAAGTTTTTCCACATTTGCTGTGATTAATAAAACAAAAGTGTATATTCCTTTTAAAATTTTAAGCTGAAAAAATCCCTTTGGGGACTAAAGCTGAGTGGAATGGAGAAGTGTTACTTTTTCTGCTTTTCGGGGTTAATTATTTCTAAAGGAGAAAACACCGCTAAACATGTATCAGCATCTCACATATATGTGTACTATACTGTACTATTCTGTGACCAAGAATCTTGTGCTGAAACCAGTTGGATTGTATTGATTGAAACAGGCAGTGTTTCAAAATAGTGATGATAACCTCCAGCCCTGGGGAATAAATAGAACCTTGGGTGAGAGGCTGAATGTCCTTCCAGTTAAAAGTAACCTTGCTAACCCTATGAAATTGTTGCATTTTTGTGAACCATTAACCTGATAAATGTCTGATTCCAAGAACAAATTTTCTAAGTAAAATTGAAAACTCCAAATAAATATAGCAAATTTAGCAAATACAGCAAAAGAGCCAGTTCGGTCTAGGGGTTAAGGCTCCAGGCTAGATAGCAGGAAACTGTGAGTTCTAGTCTCGCCTTAGGCATGAAAGCCAACTGGGTGACTTTGTGCCAGTCATTCTCTCTCAGCCCAACTCACCTCACAGGGTTGTTGTTGTGGGGAAAATAGGAGGAAGAAGGAGGATTAGGTATTTTTGCCGCCTTGAGTTATTTAGGAAAATAATAAACGGGATAAAAAAATTTAAAAAAAATTATTACAGCAAGATAATGTTCCTTTTCTTCAGAAAAATCTGAATTATGCAAATGGAATAAATTGTTAATTAGGCCTACATATTCTCTTATTTGAGGTGTAATTGATTCTGCTCCTGTTTGTCATGGAGACAGGTATGAAACATTTACACCTGAACACCCAACCTTAGAAAATTATTTTAAGCCCTATCACTTAACTTCTGATATTTAAATAGACATAGGCCACACATATTGAAGCCTATTTGTTGTAGCCAGAAGGTGCAGAAAGGTACTTTTAAAAATGTAATATGAAGTTCTTGGAATGCTGGATTAAATATTTGTCTGATTCTGTTCTTTCTCTTCTCATTATTAGTCCCCCCCTCCCCCCACGATTCTGAACGGAACCCTGATTGTATTTAGTCAGCTAAATAATTTTGATCTTATATTGTGGTACACTGTTCTCCATTGGAAAAACTACTGGAGATCTATGTTGCTTAAAATCTAGAAAAAAGATCCTTAACTTCAAAACTTCACATGCAACAAGGTAATATTTTCTCCACTGAAAAAGAAGAAAGTTATACAGTCACTGGGTTAATCCCATAGACTATATGGTACACTGTAGTTCTTGCTTTCCCTACATTTTAAATAATCACAGGACTGGTTACTGTGTATGACAGAAAGAACAGGTAGAATGGGTCATTTAAAATGTACGTTTGAGGCAATAGAATTATTGGGAAAAATCATTAGACTCCAGTAACTGAGCAGTGTATGAAATAAATGTAGGTGTTGATCCAGCCATATTTAAGCTTTTTTAGTAGAAGATATTAAATGTATTTTTAGTTTCATTTTGGCAGGAGAGCACCTAAATTAATTGATAGGACTAGCTCTAAAATGTTGGGTTATAACCATAGGAGGTGAGAAATAACGTGGTTTGAACTTTTTAATGTTTACACTCAGAAGTGTCATTATTAGTACAACTCACTTCCTCATAGAAGTACATATGATGTAATCCTAGAAGTAGGAGGGTTTTCTAATAGCTGAATTGCAGAACTTCAAAGTCTGCTTAGAGACACACAGTAAATGTTTTTTAGAGTAAAAAAAATGCTTGTCAGGGATTTGTGTTGTTGTCCTTTATTGACAAAAACTGAATGGAAGAGGAAAGTAATAAAAATTGTAAACATTCTTGAAAATATTGCTAAAAAAACAGTGGATAAATACGTACTAAAGCAAACATACACAAAAGGACAAAATATCTGTGATCATAAAGCAAGTCCTGCAATGTGGAATCCAGTAGTATCAGGCATTCATTCAATACAAACTCACATTTTTCCCTTTGAAAAATAAACAACTATCCTTCATGAAAGGAAACAGCTTTCAAACTATGGTGTTTGTAAAACTATGCCACTGATTTCACAATCAACAAAGTTTCATGGTATACAAACTTGCTGGAGTGATTTTAGAAGGGAATTAACTCTTAACATTTCTGTTTTAGGGTTGGCATATCAGCAGTTTTAATTTCTAGCCAAATGCAAACCTTTCCCATTGCTGCCAAGCTGCTCATTCAAATGAAGACAAGGAAGTGGATGAATAAAATACTGAGTAAGAGAGCATAAATTCGTATTCCATTGCCAGGAATAGTATATCTGGAAAACAATACAGTTGTTCCAACTAGTGCAGAGGAAGCATTTATGTTTCTATCTCACCCGACAGGTGCAGCTTTAAATCTTCCAGGTCTTAGAAAGTGGGACATGGTGCAACTTCTTCCTTTCTTGCTCATGTTTTACATACCCACCCCTTCCCAATTTTAATCTGATTATACTTGATGGTAACAAACCAGGCTGTCCTTTACTATGTCTGTTTAGCTTTGAACTATAGATTTGAATTGTGACTTTGCCCCCCAGTCACTGGGAATTTTCAGTACTGAACAGGGCTTTTTAAATTTGAAATCTGTAGCTGATATTTTATCCATAAGGGCTTTCATAAAGAAATGTAAAGTAATTGGTGCCAGCTTTTGGCAAAAAATCTGTCCGCATTGATCATTCAATTTTTTTTCTCCTCTGAGAATGTGTTGGACTGCAGCTTCTGTCGTGGAGGGTGCTAGGCTGGGGAAAGCTAGTTAAAAGGACAGGGCATAACAGGTGAACCCAACTGCTCCATCTTCTCCTAATAGTAACCACAGTTGCACAATGTCTATTAGGACCAATCCAAATAACAGTAAAGAGTGTATAAGTGTACAGGTTTTTGAATTGAGCTGAATATTCTTCATCAGGCAATGTGTTACAAAAAAACCAGGGAATGGGGAGAACAAGGAAGTCCTAAAGTTAGATCCCATGTTATATCCACCAACAGTATAGAATCAGGGCCTTTCCTCACCTACATGTAACCACATTATAAATGTGCCCTGGCAGCATCTTTTTTTCTTTGTGTTCCTATGGCTTTGTTTCCAATCCATGAGTGAGACAAACCTAAGTCATCCTTAGGTATAATACTGTTGTCTGCTTAAGCA